AGCTTGTCTGTGAACGACACTGAGCAGAGACAAACCCTAATGAGAAACAGGTAGGGCTAGAGGGGGAGGGAGAGCAAATAAGGGAAAGTGGGGGCATCAGAGTAGAGGAAGCAGGAGGGAGTGAGCAAGCAAAGAGGACAAAGAAATGGTGGGAGAATTATCAGCATAAAGATAAAAGGCCAAGTTCGGCCAGGACATATCTTAAGTTACACTGACCTTTCGGTGATTGCTTTTCAAATACAACTTATAGACTCAGAAATTATATGTTTATTAATTCAACATTTAATCAGTGCCAGACACTGCTAGATGCTCTCTCACTAAAAATGTATGTCAGTGTAGACTCTGGGAAATTGGTAAAGTTTTTTTTTTTTAAGTAATGTGTAAACATCTAATGTAGTGTGTAAGAACTGTGCTTTGTGAGGAAATGAGTGTGACAGGAACATGAAGCAAAATGAAATCCATGCTTTCAGTGAAAAAGAATATTAAGGGATTGGAAGAGAGTTCTCTGTAATGGCAGCTTCAAGGGCCAGGGTTCTAGTTTTTGCCTACCAGCATGGTCAGAAGTAAAATTTAAAGACACAGCTAGAAAACAAAGGACAAGTGTTGAAATAGGAGCGGCGGGGCTGCGTCCCCAACACCCCGGCCGCTTGGCTAGCTCATGCCCGAAATAACAACACACAAACTGTATTCATTTAAGAACTGCTTGGCCCATGAACTCTAGCCCTTACAGGCCAATTCTCGCATCTGGACTAGCCCATTTCTAATGATGTGTGTAAGCACCCCAAGGTGCGCTTACCGGGAAGATTCTAGCCTAAGTCCATCGTGGGTTGCAGCTGCCTGGGAGAGCTGAGCATGGCGTCTCTGCTCCAGCAGAGCTGTCGGGTCTCTCTGGGAGCAGAGCAGAGTCTGACCTCACTTCCTCTTCCGCCCAGAATTCTATTCTGTTTACTCCTCCCATCTATGTTCCAAGCCATGAGGCCAAGCAGCTGGTTTATTATAACTTAACCAATGAAATCAACAGATTGATATATGACACTCCCACATCAGACAAGTAAAGGTTGTTGCTAAACAAGCTATGAATGAGAGCCCGAGAAGCCTTAGTGACATCAAAGGCTAAATTTGTATAAAATGAATTCATATAGTAGCCTTTATGACTAACACCCTGTGTGTCTTCTCAGGAAAATAATAACATGTGTTAACATGCCAGCTCTTCATGCAGCTCAGTGTTCTCTCTCACGTCTTCGTTCTTAATTACATGTTAAAATTAGACCAACTGTACTTTGGGCTGTGGTGTAGCCTGAGTATATTTAATTAGTCGGATCTGTTTGCGGGGCTGCCCCCACTGCTGCAGTAGCTTTAAGAGCTGGAGAAAATTTACATCTGAATTGTCTGCATTTCCTACTCTGTGAAAGGAAAAAAAGATACTTAATGTCCCAGCTGATCTCATATCAACTTGACACAAGATAGAGTCATCAGAGAGGACAGAAACAAGTACCTCCATAAGATCCAGCTAAAAGGCGTTTTCTTAATTAATGATCAATATGGGAGGACCCAGCCCATTGTGGGTGATTCTATTCCCGGCTGAAGGTCGTGGATTCTGTAAGGAAGCAGTCTGAGCAAGCCAGGATAAGCAAGTGAGTAAGCAGCCCCTGCTTCGTGACCTCTGCAGCAGCTTCTACCCTCAGATTTCTGTGTGGTTCTAACATCACTGTTCTAGAAGGTGAACTGTTATATGGAACTGTGAGTGGGATAAGTCCTTTCATCCCCAAGTTGCTTTTGGTCATGGTGTTTCATCACAGCCTATAACTAAGAAACCTACCCTCTTTGGTTAGGTAATAGACACACATCAGTTAACACAGTACTCAATTCCTGGTCCAACAATCAATTAGCTATTAATACCTATCAAGTGCCTACCGATAGGAGGGTAGCCATGTCTCTTTCTATGGCCAGTCCCGTGGTCATTTTACCAGAGGGAACATCATTGCAATAACACTTGAGGAAAATCAACAGTGTACCTTAACAGTGAATACTTTTAAAGTCCTCAGCCGGGCAGGTCTCCTTTGCAAAGGCGTGTTTTAGCAGACCCTGCTCTGAGAGCAGTTCACAGCTGGTATTAAAAATGCATTCTCAACAGTACAAACTTAGCCGGAAGTGTTGCTGTTGTTTTGTGTTTGTCGTCACGTGCTAACATTCCCCAGCTGTCCATTCCACGGAGACAAAGGGGCCTGTCCAGTACTGTAATTGTGCTGCCGGGAATATGAGCTAAGGGACAGAATAGAGACGTTCTTGTGATTCCTTCAGTCTGCTCAGATGGAACTCAAATCCACGCCCCTAACAATTGATAGAGGAAATTCGCATTGCCATTGCTGCTTTTTCTCCAGTGTCTGCTTAGTAGAGTGAATTGATGGAAATCACTGACCTGCTATGAAAAGCTAAAAACAAACAAAAACTGGAGTCAAGTTCTCTCTTGCTAGTAAACAGTTTCCTTACCCTTGGTAGGAAAATAACACCATCAAAAGCATTCCGGTCTGCCTTTCTTTTCTTTTTCTTTATCTTTTTTGTTTTCCTTTTTGAGACAGAGTGTCTCTATGCTAACTAAACTGGTCTCGAACTTCTTTGGATTCTCCTGCCTCTGCCTCGGAGTGAAGCCATAACACCAGGTCCCCAGAAGAGATAAAACAACCAACTACACCTGGGCTTTCCAATCTACCTTTATCTGCTTTGTTCCCTCATTCTGTTTTCAGTGCACAGCAGTCGACTGCCGTGACTATGTTGCTAGGCCCCAGGACCTCATGGTTGAGCCCAGCATTTCTCTTCTGACTATGACCTATTGAAACCTAGTTCTGTGCATTTGTCACGGCTGAACTGTGCACTGCAAGCACAATGAAGCATTTTGCTTCCCTGTGCTCCCTTGTGCTCTCCAGAGGCTGCCGGAAAGAGTCCTCCTACCCAACTCTCCTGAATCATAGCCTCTCCTTTATCCTGCCTTGGCTGTACCGTTACACTTCCCAGTATTCTCTCCTTCAAGCTGTGCATTTCCTGTTTCTTTCAGCCCCACTGTGCTTCTTCGTTGAATACCTGCGTAACCATTACCAACAATAACCATTTCACAAACTCAACCTTATACACTCTCAAAATTCCCTCCACCAAATAAACTAGTTCATGACTTTTAAGTTTAACCCTAAACAAGTTCTTAAAACAAAGGCAAAAGGCAGACAGATTGGTTATTTGCAAAATATCACACAAATGGCCTCTAGGCAAGTGGCTGATGATAGTGATTCTGAAATCTCTTGATGTAGGCCTTCACCGTCTACCCTGGTGTAAGAACGACTGTCACCCAGGCAACTACAATGATGGACTGTAAAGTTCTGGTTGCCTTATTTTCCTTTTCTTGCCCAACATTCGAAAGTCTTCTAACATTCTTCTAAAAAGCATGGTTAGGTTTTTCATAGCAACAGCCTACTCTCTGGTCCAACTTCTGTATTAGTTACATTTCTGCTGCACTATATCCAAGGCAACTTGTAGAAATGTTTATTTTGTTATTTAAGAGTTCTTAAGGGTCGAGAGTTCATCTTGGCAGGAGAGCATGGTAGCAAATGGTAGCCAGGGTGACAGGGGTAAGAAGCTGGAAGCCCATGTCTTCACATGTAAGTGTGAAACAGAGAGAAGAAAAAGGAATTGAGCAAAGACTATCAACACTCAAAGCATTTCACAAGTGGCATTCTCTCTCTAATAAGGTCATAACCTCAAAAGTGCTCCTAACTGGGGGATAAGTGCTGAGATGTTCAAGACCATAAGAGACATGTCTCATTCAAACCACCACAGTCTCTATTGAGAAAACACCAGATGTCAACCTCTTCCCTCTATATATGTACATAAACATATATGTAGATACATATCCTACATACATACACATATGCACACACATGAACGTATACACAGAAAAATTTCATCTTCTCATCAAAATATATCATGAAGAAATTGAAAGGTAAAACCACACAGCTGCCAAATTTCAAACCTGGGACAAACAACTGACGTGCCTATTTAGCAAATCAAAGTGGATCTGGTCTCCAGGTTCTCCCAGCATCCCTCAGTCCCTACCTGCTACAGGGTATGGCTATCATGCCCTGACCTCTACTCTGACTTTCCAGCCCAGGGGCTGGGCTGCCATTTCCCCAGAGGCACTTCCCTATATGATCCAGACATTTTGGTTACCTACCCTTTTTGTACCTTTGGCCTTCTAGCTGCCCCTTTCCCTTCGCCTCCCTCTCTCCCTACATGGCCCAACTCAGTCTTGTCATGTCTACTCTGGAGTCTTCCAGATGTCCCTGCCTGTGGCTATGCGCTCTCAAATGTCTATAATAAACCTTCTCTTCTAACATACCTGGGAGCAGTCATATCTTTTCCTTATTTATTTGTTTGTTTGTTTGTTTGTTTTTATTCAATAATCACTTCTAAAATCTAGCACAATTATATTACACATAGGTGCTCTAATTAAGATACTGCCTTAATATGGCCCCTTGATTTTGAACCCTGAAAGAACAAGAACAAACTAAAAGAAAGCATTGGCATTGTAAAAACTGATATTTAAAAATTGGCAGAAGAAATGGAGATCTGAATACTTGTTAATATCATCTAACATGAAAAATGAAGAAAGGCTCAACAGTTGATAATTTCCAATAACATTTAAAATTAAAAAGTTACCAGTAGAAATGAAAGTATAATATAATCAAAATTGATAGAAAAGAATGTAAAAATGTAACACAAGCTGCCTTAGTTAGGGTTTCTATTGCTGTGAAGAGACACCGTGACCATTGCAACTCTTATAAAGGAAAACATTTAATTGGGGCTGGCTTACGGTTTCAGAGGCTTAGTGCATTGCCTACTAGAAAATGATGTTTTGTAACGTTAGGAAAACACCACTGAAAATGTCAAAGTATTGCTAACTTCTTGATTTGCATCAGTGTGTTATACTAAAACTAAAACCACTGTTATTTCAGGGGACAAAGTCTGGAGCGCCCTCAGCCAAAAATGGTCAGATAGGACTAAAGAACAGCTGCCTACACGTCATGTCCAAAGTCTTCACAGTCTCTCGAGTGAGTTTGGGGTTTTACAATTACAGTGGGGGTTAAGAAATCCTAAAAATACTCCTATGGCAGGATCTTTGTAATTTATCCTCACAGAAGCTCTTTGGGAATTCTTCTCTATGATTAGGTCTACACCCATAATTATGTCATCGTGTCCACAAAAGTGTCATTCTTTTGCTCAGTTCTTGTAACTTGTTTATAAGCCTGGAAAAGCAATAGCCAATGATGTCCAAAGCCATCTGCCACTTAGACACCAGAACATGTTGTAGTGTTCCCACTAGAGCAGAGATATTGGTTAAACTATGCTTTAAATTAGGTGCATAAAGAGTAAATGATGTGACTGAGGAATGCATTTTATAGCAAATAGCGTAATGTTCCAGAAAGCAGTCATCAGGTTACCTTGGCCAGTGTACTTGCAGCACATCAGGAATGAGTCTCAGAAAAACATTGAATGGAAGCTCTGAATAGTGGTTTGGCTATTATTTGGCTATTCCAAAGTCTGGAAAACAATAAGGCACATGCCAAATTATGGAGTATCATATGCCAAAACAACTCCTTGACATAAGATAGTGGAAAGTCAGTTAAAAATTCTCGTTTATTTTATAAATTATAAATTAGTTATATCATATTCCATCCCAAATAAAATCAAAATGTATTGAATTCCTTTAATTCTTTCTTCACATTGGTGGGTCAGATTGTAATATATCTTATATGGGGGGAGTTACAGCCATGTACCTATGCTCTACTTAGTGGTTCATTTAAAAAACTTAAATTTGGGGTTCTCTAAGAATCTTGACTAAATACAGCAAACTAGTTAAAAGTAGGGTTTTGAAGCCAAACCAACTTGAGATCGCATTCTTGATAATATTTTTCTCAGCATTCTCAAGATTAAAGTTAGCTTTCTGCTTTCTTGTCTGTAAACCAGAGGTAAAATTCAACTCAGAGAACTGTATAACTAAATAAGATATATAAATCATTTAATTATTAGTTTATAATGAGATTTAATTTTTTAAAAAAATGGCCTTGTGTCCCTTCCAAAGACATTGTAATTTCCTTGGTAAAGGTATGGTTTGGGCTTTGATATTTTTTTGAAGATCCTTAAATAACATTGGCATGCAGACACATTTAGGAAGCACTCATACAGTGAGCTCATGACTATGTGTAACTATGCCTACATACAGCTACTGATAGTATTATAGTTTAATAGTTTTATAAACATTTAACTCCATATTTGTAACATCCTAAGAGTTAGCCAACATATTTATTACTACTAATTTTCTAATTATAGACAGGAGTCTGGAGACTATTAGTAACAAAGTCAGAAACAGCCAGTAAGACTCAAGATATAAACCCATTTTGTCTGAATCCAAATCCATAGCTTTCAGTTATAAGATTCTCTGGTTCCAAAATAACTTCCTATATGTAAATTCTACAAATTCAGTTGATATATAATATACTGAGAATTTCAATTTTATACAAAACAGAATGAAAAAATCTTCAAAGGCATGTGAGCTCCTAATAGTACACACCTGATATGTTACAGATGTGTTTGGTCACATCTCTGAATGGCTTGGAACACATGGCCAGGATGAAAGGACATTGTCTTAGTAACTTGTCTTCTTGCTTTCGTACACACTGACAAAAGCAACTTAAAGGAGAAAGGATTGCTTTGGCTCACAGTTTAAAGGTAGAGTCCATCATGGTGGGAAAGTCACAGTGGCCGGTCACATTCCATCAACAACCAAGAAGCAGAGAGTGTGTGCTCAGGTGTTTCTTCCTTTTATGCAGCTAGTACACACACACATGCAGAGGTGCTGGCCTCCCTTCACAGTGGATCTTTCTACCCTAATTAACCTAATCAAGATATCCTTCATAAGCGTACTCAGAGAACAATGTAATCTTAATTATCTCCCACAAGTGTGCCTGGAGATTTGTCCCCTAGTGATTTTGGATCCTGGCAAATGGACAATCAACAGTAACCATCAAAGACAGTAAATACTAATGAGGATTGTCTTAAGGAACTATGTTTGATTAAGAATATTTCTCATCTCTTACATGTAATCATGTCGGATAATGGTGCTCAATTCTGCAGAATTTTAATGGAATTTTACATGAAAATTCTCTCATTTTCATTCCATGTACAATAAGAACTCAAAAAAAGGATAATTTTTGGAAATTATGCTTAGCATATGTTTTAACCTAATCTCTACCCAGGATCTGAACTAACATAGTTTTAGCCACATTAATTGACCCAATAATCATTAACATCCAAAACACAAGTAGAAATAAAAAGCAAAACCATATATCTACTGAGAGCACACCCCATATAAAACCATTTTTAACTGAAGTTTTTACCTTTATCTTCTCAGAGTAAACTAGAATAATGGAGAGAGTTTTTATATTTTCTTTTGTATCATTAGATGTATAATAACTAAATGAAAAGGGAGGAAATCAAATACTATTTGTTTTCAAGACTTATTATAATACTACATTAATTATGACTACATCCTTGCCACAAAGCCAAATATCTAAATGAAATAGACAGAGAAAATAAAATAGATCCATGTGTAACACAGGGAATTAATTTTTGAAAAAGTTAAGGTGACTCAGTGGAAAAATAATTTTGGAAGTAAATGCTGCTTAACTTTAAATATCCTTGGATGAAAAAATACACACCTAATTTGTATTCTTCACCACAGGTTTAACTTAAATTTGATCACAGATAGAGTATAAAAATCTAGAAGTAAAGAACTTTTAGTAAACAATATAAAGGAAAAGAGATGTTGGCTTTATGTTAGACAAATATTAAAGGTATATTCCTTAACAATTAAAATATGTGGAAATTTTACTTGTGAAATGACACTGACAAGAGAATAAAATGACACCCTAAAGGAAAATAAAAGGTTTGGAAATCTTAATTCTTATATAGGGCTAATATAAAAATATATAAAGAACTGTCAAACTGATTAAAACTCATTAAAAGAAAGTGTTTGAATGTGTAAGTTATCAAAGAGATATATTACTAATAAAAAGCATAAAAACAATGATTAGCAATATCAATCCTTCAGTAAATACAAATTAGAACTACAAAAAATACCACTACATTGTAGACTGGCTAAAATAATAGATTGTACAAAGTGTTGTCAAGAATGTAGAACAACCTGAATTCTCACTTATCACTGATGGAAGTTTAAGTTCCAAGTCATTGCAAAGTTTTATACAACTTTTTCAAAAGTTAACAATACACCTACTATGTGGTCCGGTCATTACACTTTTAGGTATTTGAATAAAAAAAAATAAAGTTTTAGTATAAACAAAGATTTAAAGACAAATGTGCCTAACAGGTTTATTTGCAATAACCCTAAACTCTAAATAACCCAAATGCCTCATGAACTCATGAGTGGATTAACAAATACTGGTACATTAAAATTTCAGAATAAAAGTAATGAGATATTAATACATACAGCAAAATGGATAAACCTATGAATTGTTAAGTTGTGTAAAAGAAGCCAAACAATTGTAACAGTAAATGTTGTATGCTTTCATTTACATGTAATTCTAGAAAGTGAATATATAGTTATGAAATGTAGCTGATCAGTGGCTGCCTAGACAGGGATAGGAAGGAGGAAGCTATGAGTACAGGAGCTATGAGTTGTTGCTGGCATCAACTTGCTTCACAGGAGATTTGCAGTGGACAGCATTTCAACAGAGACTCAAACTGTCCATGGTATCGTGAATAGTTGTCGGTGAAGTACTCAGCCTTAAAAGGGCATCTATACAACCCCTCCAAGGCTCCAAGAACATCATCTGAGGGGGTGTGGGAAGAGTCAGGGAAGAGTCAAAAGATGAGGAGAGTTTGTGGAAGGCTGTCTCTTGGGCAAGACCTGGTCATTGCACGCTTCAGCTCTCAGCAGCTAGGATTACCCATCATGGAGGGAAGGGAGAGACATATTCTTCAGTGGGGTAGTCACTAGCAAGCTGTTCGTGTTCCTGTAAATTACCTCTCATTCACATAACTGCACACAATTAAACTAGCTAAACTCACTGGGACACCAAAAAGAAGGGAAAGAAAGTAGTTGGGGAGAAAAGATGGAATCTGAAGGATTTGAAGGGACAGGAGGAAATAAAGATGAATATGGTCAAAATATATTATATACATACATGAAAATATAATGAACCCATTATTATATTTAACTAATATGTTCTAATAATATATGCTAATAGAGACCTTAAAAATGAACAGTGGAAATGAGGAACCTTTGAAAGCACTGGAGGGACTAGAGATATAGGTCAGAGGTCAACAGCACTGGGTGCTCTTCTCAAGGACTGGGGTTCAATTCCCACACCCATATCACGCCTCACAACCATCTCCCACTTAAGTCCTGGGGAGTCAGAGGCCCACTTCTGACTTGTGCATGTACTCATGGTACATAGATATGGATATACACATATGCAGGTAAAGCATCCATACACATAAAAATAAAAAATTAGAAGTAAAATTTAAAAAGAGAAATAAGCAATGGATGTGGTTATTATATAGCTTGTGGTGATGGTTTCAGACAATGAAGATATCAAAGTTGCATGCTTTTACATTTTTATAGTGGTAAAAAAGACATCATAAGATTCATAATCTTAGCACTTTTTAAGCATGTAATAAATTATTGGTGATTATGATACACTTTGTTGCGGAGTTTGCTTTAAATCAATTGTATCTCTAAAAACTTGTCAAAATAGCAATTATAAAAATTGTTATCTCCTTTCATAAATACTTCACTAGCTATGAAAAGTATTACATTTTGTATTTTATATTCCTTTCCTCTGCTTATATGAAAGGTGTGTGTGTGTGTGTTTACAGGCATGCATGTGCATGTGTGGGTATACACATGTGCATGCATATGTATTCCATATGTGTGCAGATGCCAGTAAAGGCTAGAAATCAGCTTTTGATGTCATGAAGCCAGAGTTATGGAACCTGGTAGGCTGAGTGTGGTGCTGGGACCTGAACATGA